TCGGATGCCTTTAGGGGTTTTGTTTTTGGTGTTTTGTTTTATAATTATTTATTTTAAGTATTTAAATTAAACTCTAAATAAACCGACGTCTTGCAGCAGCAGCAGCAGCAGCAGCAGCAGGGGGCCCCCCATGCAGCAGCAGCAGGGGGGCCCCTCCTTTTCTTATGGAGGTGTCTGTACAGCTCAGAGATGTATTGACAGGCTGAGGGTTTAGTTTATTGCTTTTTCATTAAACTTTGCTTTAAAAAGACAACACCAGGCGAACTCAGCAGCGAAGGTTTAGGGTTTAGGGTTTAGGGTTTAGGGTTTAGGGTTTAGGGTTTGGGGTATATGTGGGGCGTCTTCCTGGGGTGTCAGTCATATCTGGGCTGCATTTTGTTTCTTCACATGCGTTATACCCTCTTGATCGAGGGTTTAGGGTTTAGGGTTTAGGGTTTAGGGTTTAGGGTTTACAATGGAGCTAGGGGGGTGCGCAGACAGCAGGACACCCTTAACGGCTCCTCCTCGTATTGCTAACCCCTTAAATATATCAGACAGTGCTAAACCCTATCAAAAGGGCTGGGCTTTAGGCGGTGCTTCTGAGCGCTCTCAAACCCCTGGGGGCCCCTGGGGGGCCCCCCAGCAACGGCCGGATGCTACGGGGTATCATGTTGCTTACGACGGTGCGCAGGGTTTAGGGTTTAGGGTTTAGGGTTTAGGGTTTTGGGGGTGTTAAAGGTTTAGTTTTCTCGTGGGCCTCACGGGTGGTGCGTAGACAGAAGAACTGTTTTCCTTCACACCGTTGGAGGCCGAGGGTTTAGGGTTTACGGATGATGAACTAGGGTTTAGGGTTTAGGGTTTAGGGTTTAGGGTTTGGTTGACACAGGGGACCCTCGACAAAGGAGCCGACGAAAGACAGAGTGGATATCAGTTTTATGTCTCCTTCTTTTCTTTGGTGGTTTGGGGGCCCTTTATTGTCTCCGCTACGTCTCTGATACTCCCGCCCGTAAACCCTAAACCCTAAACCCTAGACAAGCTCTTCTTAAACCCTCTCCAAACCCTAGGAGGCCCGGGGAGGCTGAATAGACCCTCTGCTCAAACCCTAGCCTGAAAGAACTGCAACTGCATTCTTTTAAAACCCTAAACCCTAAACACTAGCTAACGCAAGGCAAGCACTAACGCCCGTCTCTACACCAGCCCCTTATCGAGGGTTTAGGGTTTAGGGTTTAGGGTTTGGATTGTGTTGCAGCTTCGGCCCCTCAATCTCCGCAGTGTATCATATCCAACAGCGCCGAGTGCAATGCGTACAGCTTCCCGTCTTTCTTTTCAGGCAAACCCTAAACCCTAAACCCTAAACCCTGAGCAGCACGAGCGAAACAGCCGGTAGCCCTTCCGTGCGAGGGTTTAGGGTTTAGGGTTTAGGGTTTAGGGTTTTGAGGGTGTGCTGCAGAGGACATGGTGCGCCTTGTTGATGCTTCGCCTGAAAATAATTCCTTTCTCTTCCGGTCTCCGATGCCTCTCGCCCCAGGCGGAGGTCAGAAAGGGTTTAGGGTTTAGGGTTTAGGGTTTAGGGTTTTAGGGTTTTAGGGTTTAGGGTTTGGCTGCTGGAACCAGTCTTTCAGGTTGTAGGCGTTCAAATGTGTGCTGTTTATTGTCCAGATGGTGGCTGTAATAGGGCTTGCGTCTCCCCTACTTCTAGGGTTTAGGGTTTAGGGTTTAGGGTTTAGGGTTTGGGTGCAGGTTCTATCCTGATTGACCGCCTGAAGGCCGCCATGCAGCACCAAGCAGAGCTTGCGGGTTTTCAGCTGCCTGAGGCATTCGAACTTAGGGTTTTTCCTCTCGTTTGGGATGGACATAACAATGCTGTAAGGGTTTAGGGTTTAGGGTTTAGGGTTTAGGGTTTAGGGTTTAGGGTTCGGGGCTTTGGGTTTGGCAGTTGGGGGTTAGGGATTGATTTTGTGGTGTGGGATGCTGGGGTTGAGGGTTTAGGGTTTAGGGTTACCCCGTTTCAGGGTTTAGGGTTTAGGGTTTAGGGTTTGTGGTTTGCGCAGCTGAACGAGAGGTGCGAGTTGAGTCGAGAGGTTTGTTTGTTTGAGGGGAGCAGCAACTCTGCGGTGTCTGTACACCACTGGCCCCTTTACGGGGAAAGTGTAAACCCTTACGACGTCCCTGAACCGGTAGGGTTTAGGGTTTAGGGTTTAGGGTTTAGGGTTTTGGGGTTGGTGTGCCCCGGCATCGATGCCTGTCGTCAGTAGTTTCTAGGGTTTAGGGTTTGGGGTTTAGGGTTAAGGGTTTTTGCGCGTGGGTGCTAGGAAACGCCATCCACTGGCTCCCTAGGGTTTTAGGGCTTAGGGTTTAGGGTTTAGGGTTTAGGGTTTAGGGTTTAGGGTTTAGGGTTTAGGGTGTTGCAGAATCGCATTGCAATGGCGAAGAATTTGGCGTCGTGGTGCGGAGACTTCTTAGTACAGCGGGTAGACCTTCTTTATACGCAGCTGCATTTAGGTGCTGCTGCTGCTGCTCCTGCTGCTGCTGCTGCTGCGCCTGAGGCCGGTGCAGCAGCAGCACCGCGTACTCTTGCTGGGGTTGAGACTCAAGACAATCCGTCTACTGCTGCAGAAGCAGCAGCAACTGCTGCTGCTGCTGCTGCTGCTGCTGCAGAAGCAGCGAAGAATGCCCAAGCAGCAGCAGCATCGGCAGCAAATCTAGCAGCTGCTGCTGCAGCTGCTGCTGCTGCTGCTTCTCCATCCCACTCTGCATGCAATAAGTGCTCAAGCTGCAGCAAGATGAAGCACTGCCAGAAGCAGAAGCAGCAGCAGCAGCAGCAGCAGCAGCAGGAGCCGCACAAGGTTCACAATCATCATAAAGGCAAGCTGGAGGAGACATCGGCTGCTGCTGCTTTGACTACAGCAGCCGCAGCAGCAGCAACAGGAGTTGTTAGCAGCCCCACCAGCAGCACCAGCAGCAGCAGCAGCAGCAGCAGCAACAGCAGCAGCAGCAGCAGCAGCAAGAAGGCCACAGTGGTTCTGCTGCACTGTCATCATGGTAGAGACAGGACAGGTTTAATTGTCGGAGCCTATAAAATGAAGTACTTAGGGTTTTCGCTTGCAGATGTCTGGAGAGACAACCGAGTAAACCCTAAACCCTAAACCCTAAACCCTACTATTAAGCTCTATATGTGGCTTGCCTATCTACCTTTATTTGTATGCATGCATGCATGCATGCATGCATATATTTGCATGCATTTACCTGCATATCTTTGCATGCATATCTTTGCATGCATCTATTTTAATCTATTTTCATCTATTTTCATCTATTTTAATCTATTTTAATCTATTTGCATGCATATATATGCATGCATCTATTTTCATCTATTTGCATGCATCTATTTGCATGCATATATTTGCATGCATCTATTTGCATGCATATATATGCATGCATATATATGCATGCATCTATTTGCATGCATCTATTTGCATGCATATATATGCATGCATATATATGCATGTATTTAAATTGTTTGTATTTGTTGTGTTGTGTGCATTTGTTAGGCGTTGGGCATGGAGTTGTTTGAGGCTTTAAATTCTTTGCTGTGGTTTTGTTTATACTTGCAAGAGGGTTTAGGTGTACGTACAGCTGAATGCTTTGATATATATACAGAGCAGCAGCAGCAAAATAAACAGCTGCTGCTAAGTGCAAACGGAGAGGGCTTAAGAGATATACCCTGGCCTCCATCAAGGCCCCCAGAAGAGCTGCTGCAGAGACACAAGCAGCTGCAGCAGCAAGAGCTGCAGCAGCAGCAGCAGCTGCTGCAGCAGCAGCAAAAGTTGCAGCAACAGCAGCAACAACAGCCCAACAAACATGAGCTTTTCTTCAGGGGACCTGCTAAAGATAATCCCCTGCAGCAAGACCAGCAGCAGCACCCACAGCAGCAGCAGCAGCACCCACAGCAGCAGCAGCAGCAGCCACAGCAGCAGCAGCAGCAGCCACCGCAGCAGCAGCAGGGGGAGGTGACTGCTGCTTCAACACCTCTAAATGAAGGCAGCAGCAACAATGCAAGTGCTGGAGGAGGAGAAAACAAAGATGACGCTGCAGCAGCAGCAGCAGCAGCACCACGTGAATCAGAAACAGCAGCAGCAACAACAACAACACCCGAAGCAAAAGCAGCAGCAGCACAAACTCCCGCAGAAGCAGCATCACATGAGCAGCAGGCAGGCCCTGTCTCTGATGCAGCAGCACCAACAGCACCATCGCCAGCAGCAGATGCAGCAGCTTCAGCAGCAGGAGCAGCTCCAGCAGCAGCAGATGCAGCGGCAACAGCCCCAGCAGCAGAAACAGCAGTTCCAGCAGCAGCAGCAGCTCCAGCAGCAGCAGCAGCAGCTCCAGCAGCAGCAGCTCCAGCAGCAGCAGCAGCAGGAGGGAACTAGCTTGGGTTATATGTGGCCGTTCAGTTTGCTCTCAAAGCAGCAACGGCAGCAGCAGCAGCAGCAACAGCAGCAGGAGCAGCAGCAGCTGCTGCTGCTGCTAGTTAGTCCTTTGTTTTTGCTGCTTGCATGCGGGGAGGAAGCAACCCCACCAATAAACACATTTTTGATTGCGGGTTGTTGATAAGGAGACAGAGAGATGCAGCTGTCTCCTTGCCGCTGCTGCAGCGAACTGCATGCAGAATATCATGCACGCGGTGTACGTTCAGCTAGCTAGCTAGCTAGCTAACTAGATGGATAGATAGGTAGATATGCGTACAGTGTGTTTAGCTAGCTAGATAGACGTATACTCCAGCTAGCTAGCTAGCTAGCTAGCTAGCTGAGGATAGCTAGCTAGCTGGGGGCTGGCCTCGTTGAAAGATGAATGGATGGGGGGTTTAAAAGTAAAGTGAAGTGCAGAAGAGGTGAGAAGAAGACAGAGGGGCTCCGTCTCTGTGTGTTGCAGCAGCTGTTATTTATCTTGCTTTGAAGAACCCTAAAACCCTAAACCCTAAACCCTAATAATAGCAACAGCAAGCAAAGGGTTTGCTTGCTGTCCCTTTGAAGCAGCACGGCTTTAGTCTGCTGCTGCGGCACGTAGTAGGAAACACAACTGTCCCCTCTCCTCAGGGTCTACACAAACCCTAAACCCTAAACCCTAAGAAGCAAATAATCATTTGTTTGGCTGGTGAGGCTGTGTGTCTTCTGTTTGTTGGGGCTGTCTGATCCTAGAAGACAGCAGAAATTCAGGTGTACGTACACCTCAGATCCCATAAAGGGAAGGGAGAATCGCATTAGGGTTTAGGGTTTAGGGTTTAGGGTTTAGGGTTTTGTTTGCGGACCAACAAGGAGACCGCTACTGAAGTGCAGCACGACGGGTGTTTTAAAGGGCCTTCATTGTTTTTATTTTGTTTGATTGATTTATTATTATTTAATTATTTGATTATTTATTTATTTATTTATTTATGTCTCGCTTCTTTTCAATACGTGTGCAGGAAGACACAGGGGCCCCCTGGCCTCCTAAGGATGAAGAGTGTGTATATAAATAAAAGTTTATTAACAATGAAGATTCTTTTTTTAAATTATTTTTAAATTCAAATAGTTAATTTAAAAATAAATTATATAATTTATTTCTTCTTCTTCAGTGCTTGAGCTGTCTGTACACCGGAGAAGTCGCAGCCCTCAGAGGCGGCGGCGGCTGCGGCGGCGGTGAGGGAGAGAGCGAAGGGTTATTTTGCATTGTTTTTTTGTAAATTTAGTTGTAAATAATTGTAAAATATGTTTTATTTATTAAATTTGAATTAAAAATATACTTTTTTCTTCTTTTTACCCCCTGTTTTTGCTATTCTTTGATTGAACAGCAGCAGAGGCGCCGCTGCAGCGCCGAAGTTGGGTCTATACAGCCGAAGGTCTCTAAGGTAATTACTGCTGTATTTTCTTCTTTTACATTATTATTTATTAATTTTAATTAATTTATATCTTTTTTCTCATACATCTCAGCAGAAGAACCGCAGACAAAGAGGCCGCAGCAGCAGCAAATCTACTCTTCATTTAAGCAGCGCCCTGTGTTTCTTTTTCTTTTTAAGTTTTGTTTAGATGTACATACACCGCAGCTTCAACAGCAAACAACAGCAGCAAAAGAATATACATTTAAGAGAAAAAGCAGCACATATATATCTCTGAAGCGGTTTATATAGGGGCTCTTAAAGACAGCAACAGAAGCAAGACAGTAAAAAACTATAGAAGACAAAAGGAGACAGTTAAAAAGATATTAAAGAAGGAAGTGCAGACAAATTAAAAATATATAAAAGAAGTTCTTTGCTGTTCAAACAGAGACAGACGGAGACAATAATAAAGATATAACAAAGAACAAGATATCAGAGAAGACGAAAGGCAATTAAATAAAAAGATTAAAAACATAAAAATAAATAAAAATAAACAAATAAATATTAAAAAAATAAAGAAGACAGAAGGAGACACAAAGAAGAGACAAAAAGAGACAGAAGAAAGGCACGGGGGCTTTACTTTATATATCTCTAAGAAGAACAACCACTACTTAACCTCTGACGGAGATCTGCTTCAAACCCTAAACCCTAAACCCTAAACCCTAGCCATCTTCTTCTTCCTTCTGGCGGGAGAAGATGGGGGCGGGGGTTTCTTGTCAGTGTTTTGACTCTGAGAAGGGAGACAACGATACTGAGTTTGCGCCTAACCAGCAACTAGCAGCAAATGGAGGGGTGAGGGTTTAGGGTTTAGGGTTTAGGGATTAGGGTTTAGGGTTTAGGGTTTAGGATTTAGGATTAAAAGAGGGCTTTGTAGCCACTTGCATAAAGCAGATAGGTACCCTGTCTCCTGCCGTGTGGGAGACAGTTCGGTAAGCAGGGTTTGCGGTGAGGGTTTAGGGTTTAGGATTTAGGGTTTAGGGTTTGGGGTTTCTGTGGTTTTGTACAGGCGACTTCCGCGAAGACGACAGTGCTGAGTGCGTGCAGAAGTTATGGGGTTTAAGGTTTAGGGTTTAGGGTTTAGGGTTTAGGGTTTATAGCGCATAATACTGCGTGTAAATTGTTAAAGATTAACTATTGATTGTAAATTGTTTCCTATTTCCTATTAATTGTTTACAATTTCCTAATTAGGGTTTAGGGTTTAGGGTTTAGGGTTTAGGGTTTAGGGTTTAGGGTTTAGGGTTTGCGCACTAGGCGGGGGAGTGCAGTACACGGGAGAGCTGAAGAACGGCGTCAAAGAAGGGTTTGGGGTTTTGCTGCGGCCCTGCGGATCGAAGTTCGTCGGCTACTTTAAAAACGGTGTCGCAGAAGGAGAGGGGACCTTTCAGCACCCACTAGGTCTGCTGCTGCTGCTGCTGCTGCTGCTGCTTATGCTGCTGCTGCTGCTGCTTATGCTGCTTATGCTGCTTATGCTGCTGATGCTGCTGGTGATGCTTATGCGGCTTATGCTGATGCTGCTTATGCTGCTGCTTATGCTGATGCTGCTTATGCTGCTTATGCTGCTGATGCTGCTGCTGCTTATGCTGATGCTTATGCTGCTGGTGGTAATACTGCTGCTCGTGGTGCTGCTGCTGCTGCTTCTAGTGCTGCTCTTGCTGCTGCTGCTGCTGCTGTGGGGAGGGTCGAATGCCTTTGTCGGCGCCCAAGGCCCAGATGAGGCGGGGACCATCAAGAGCACCTAGGGTTTAGGGTTTAGGGTTTAGGGTTTAGGGTTTAGGGTTTGGTGTTTTAGGAGACAAGTATGAAGGGCAGTGGAAGAATAATAAAGCACACGGAAGGGGCCGCTTTACGCATGCAGATGGCTCTTACTATGATGGTAAACCCTAAACCCTAAACCCTAAACCCTAGGTCTAGCTCAGACCCTTTTGCTTGACTGGCTCTTCTTCTCTCACCCACTACTACTATTACTACTACTACTCCTCTGCTGCTGCTGCTGCTCTGTTGCTGCTGCTGCTGCCGCTGCTGCTGCTGCTGCTCTGCTGCTGCTGCTGCTGTTGCTGTTGCTTCTGCTGCTGCTGCTGCTGCTGCTGCTGCAGGCGAGTGGGTCTACGACTATCAAGAGGGTTACGGGGTGGAGCACTGGGCTGACGGCAGCAGCTACAAAGGCGAATATAAGAAGGGTGCAAAAGAAGGTGAAGGTGTCTTCATGTGGCGAGACGGCAGTGTTTATCGAGGACAGTTTAAAGATAATAATATTCAAGGGTTTGGGGTGTACACCTGGGCTGATAATAAACAATATACAGGTACTTCTACCCTCACTTCTCTTCTCTACACTTTTTATATCCGTTTTCGCTCTTTTCGCCGCTTTTATTTTATATCTTCTGCGGTCTAATATACATGCGTATTATTTATTTATTTATTTATTTATTTATTTATTTATTTATTTATTATTTATTTATTTATTTATTATTTATTTATTTATACAGTTGCTTTGATGAGAAGCAATATACTACATTTTCTTTTTATTATTATGTATAATTATATTATTGTTATAAACATATATATTATTATATATACATATTATAATAATTAATATTATTTATTATATATTATATTATCTACCGTATTATATAGTATATATTATATTATCTACTCTAATATATATTAAATAATCTATTAAGATATATATTATATTATCTACTGTAATAGGGTTTAGGGTCTCTATAGGCTAGGGTTTAAGGCTCGGATTATAGGGTTTAGGGTTTAGGGTTTAGGGTTTGTGAAGTGTCTCTACAGGCCAGTGGGTTAATAACCACATGGAAGGCCAGGGCAAAATGCTTTTGTCTGATGGACGTGTTTATGAAGGCGGTTATCGAGCCGACAAGAAGCACGGCAAAGGTCCTCTAAACCCTAAACCCTAAACCCTAAACCCTAGAGCGTACAAGGACCCCAACTTCGTGTGCGCTGTTTCTGCCTGCATTCTTCTTCATTGCGCATCTTTTGCCTCGAACCCCAGGGTTTATGGTTTAGGCTTTAGGGTTTAGTGTCTAGGGTTTAGGGTTTAGGGTTTAGGGTTTAGGGTTTAGGGTTTGGGTGCAGGGAAGGTGACGTGGCCTGACGGGCGGTGGTTTGAGGGGGAGTGGGTAGACGGGAAGCAGCACGGCTTAGGCCGATATTATTCTATTGAAGGAAAGGCTGTCTCTGAAGCAGAGTGGCGGTTTGGAAGGAAGATATCCGTCACAGAAGGTCTCTAAACCCTAAACCCTAAACCCTAAACCCTAATGAACCTCCGGGGGTGGTATGAGGGAGTGTGCTGCGCTTCAAGCGAGTTGTTTATGAGTCTTTGTATGTGGCTCTTAGGGTTTATCTTGAGGGTTTAGGGTTTGCTAGGGTTGTTTCGAGGGTTTAGGGTTTAGGGTTTTAGGGTTTGTTGGGGTTGTTTCGAGGGTTTAGGGTTTAGGGTTTAGGGTTTGTGGGGTGTCTTTGCTGCAGCACCTGTAAACACTCTGCCTCCCTCTACTGCCTTGGAGGCAGCAGATGAAGAAAAGAGACAGCTTCTCTCTTCTGGAGGCCCCAACAACAACGGTGTCTCCGAACAGCAGCAGCAGGAGGAGCAGGAGCAGGAGCAGCAGCAGGAGCAGCAGCAGCAACAGGAGCAGCAGCAGCAGCAGAGCCCAGACAAACAAACAACGAGAAAGGGTGGAGGTTCGCATGCACGATGGAGGAGAGACAAATCAAAGAAAAAAGAAAAAGCAGACGAAGATGAGCAGCAAGCCCCTTCACCCTTACCGGCTGCAGCAGGAGCAGCAGCAGCAGCAGCAGCACCTGATACGAATCAGGCGAAGAAGAAGAAAGGGTTTTCTTTATTTGGGAAGAAGGATACGAAGGCTTAGCATATTAACTTTTAGTAGGTTTTTAATGTTTCATGCATGCATGCTGCTAACTTACTTCTTGTTTATTCTGCTGCTGTTGATGCTGCTGCTGCTGCTTTTGCTGCTGCTGCTAGTGTTTTTCTTAATGCGGCAGTCGATACTTCAGTTCTTCTTTCTTCCCTCAAAGGCAACTTTAATGTTGGGCTGCAGCAGCAGCAGCAGCAACAACATCTGCAGCAGCAACAGCAACAATAGCAGCAGCAGCAGCAGCAGCAGCAGCAGCTTGCGCTGCTGCTGCTGTCCTACGCGCATGCAGTCTGCTTCTGATGTACTGCTGCAGCACCAAAGGGAGACCGAAGCCGTTTTGTTTGCTGCAGGTTGTTTTTCTTTTAAAGCATTTTTGTTTGAGATGCACGCTTGTTCGCCTGCCACCATTCGCAAACCCTAAACCCTAAACCCTAGCCACACAGATCAAACAAGGAACAGGCAGTTGCGCTGCGTTCATAAGCGGAGAGAGAGGGCTATAGAGATGTGCAGTTAAGACTTTAAACTATCTATACACCCCAACCAGCACAGTTTCTGATGTAACGGTTTAGGGTTTAGGGTTTACGGGGGGCAGCCGGGTGTATCGACAGCTGTCTCATATAGTTTAGGGGTTAATGCCTAAGTACATAAAAAGAGAAGAGGAAAAGATATAAATGATATATCGCTAAAGAAACCCTGGGGTGTCTGTCCTTCTCTCTAAGCCCCAACTGCATGCATGCATGCATGCATGCATGCATGCAGAAAAGCTTTTAGGGTGAATTAGGAGGCCAAATGTTGTGCTGTACGGTTGGGGTGTGCATACACCTCAACAACTGAGGCAAGCAGCACTGGAGGAGATAATAGAGAGGGTTTTACTTTTGAATGGCAGCAATTAAAAAAAAGATAAGGGCAGCATTATTTGTTTGGTGGAGACCAACAAAACAAATAATTAAATAATAATATTTATCATTACAGTGCATATAATAGTATAATATATATTATTATTTATCATATATATTATTTATAATAATCTGTCCCCTTTCACATAATAATATATTTTACTATTTCATAATATTATATAATATATATTATATTATATTATTACATGAAAAGAGGCAGACGTTGAGGGAAGAAGGCAAAGCTAAGTGATAAACAGAAGTTTAAAGTTTAAACTACAAACAGCCAGACAGTACAATGCTCAACGACAACAACGCATGCAAAGACAGCCCCGATTATTCGCCTCCAAGTGAACGTAATCATGCATGAATGCATGCATGCATGCATGCATGCATGCAGATGCCGCTTGTTCCTAATTCTGCTGCGCCCTCAATACTGCAGTCTTTTGTGTGTCTTACGTCTGTAATAATTCGATAATAACAGCAGAAAAGCGATAAAGCTACCGGTTTAGTCTTAGTGAGTGATGTTTTAAGCGGAGGCTTTCAGACTGATAAGGGAAAAGAATAAGAAGTTTGCAAAACTCACGTTTATTTCAGCTAGTCGAACTCAATGTACTGCGTGAGGAGCGACACCCACAGAGGCGATCTGCACAGACACTGCAGCAATTTCTGCTGCGTCTTCATAAGCAGACAAAGACAAAAAATAATAATTAAATCGATTAACTCTGCAGCAAACCTCCCGATCTGCATTAAAGAAGTTTTGGGGAAACCTCCGTGCGGGGTAGAGGGGCCCCGGGGCCTCGCCGCAGGGGGCCTCATATGATCATAAGAAGTGAATATTCAGCAATTGTTGTGCTGCGATGATTGCAAGCTTTGAAATTAAGTATAAACATATATCTTTTGGAATAATATTTTGTCTTTTTTCTGATTTCGCCACTATCTTCTGCTTTCTTTCGAGAAGATACCCGCAACATTTCGTGTTTCTGTTTCAGCTTTCGATTTGCTGGGGAGGGAGCGAAGATACACCGCAGGGGAACTTCGGCGGTAATTGGCTGCTTATTTCGATTTTTAGAGAAAATAATGAGAAATATAACTATAATTGTCGGTAAATAATGGAAGGAATTGCTGAATTTATGGCGTTTGGCCGCAAGATCAAGAAGTTGAAAAGAGCGGGTTGGCTGCGGTATATACACCCAAGCGATGCAGAAAGCGTCGCCGATCATTCTTTCGGAGTTGCACTTCATTTTCTTGCATTATCTGACGAAAACCTGGTTGTAAATGGCAAAATAGCGGATAGAAACAGGTTAGTAAGTAATATGCCGTCGTCTTCCCTGATGAATACCTACGTGCAATGCAGAATCTTGATCTTTTCGTGTTCTTTCCGATGTCAATGAAGTTGAAATTCATAAATTCAAGTATTTCATATAGCGCGAAATTTATATTTCCCGCATCTTTCGGGGCTTTTGCAGCGAATTAGCTGAGTTTTTCAACTGCTTTTCACCTCCTGTTTCGGTAGAAGCCATTCGTCTTCACTATTTATTTTCATTCAATTTCCCGCTTCCTTTCGGTCTATTGCAGGTGTACGATGATGGCCGTTGTGCACGATCTTGCAGAGTCGATCGTCGGTGACATAACTCCCCTTGACCCGATCACTCCTGAAGAAAAAGCAGAAAAAGAAAGAAATGCAATTCAGTCTATTTGTAATTCTTTAGATTCCAAACGCGCACAAGAACTCATCGGCCTCTGGGAGGAATATGAAAGAGGTACACACAGCACATCGAGCACCAGAGATAAAACAAACACAATTAATAGCAAATTCGAAAACAATAACAACAGCAACAACAGTAGATAAGATAACAGATACGTGCTGTCTCTGCTCTACAGGAGAAACCCCTGAGGCGATGCTTGTCAAGGATGCAGATAAGCTGGATATGATTACGCAGGTAATGAGATGATTTGTTTCCCATTATTTGTTCAGGGTTCAGGTCTTAGAGTTTAGGGTTTAGGGTTTAGGGTTTAGGGTTGGATTTACTTCATTCTGTATTGTTTCCGTGGGAGTATATCTTATCTTTTAAAGTTGTTTCTTTGATGTGTACACAGCACTTGCATTTATATTGCAATAAAACCCAATGAAGCCTCAGCCCTCGCTCGATCCCTTTGCATTACTTATCTTTGTATAATCTTTGTTTGTTTTGCAGGCATTTGAATACGAAAAGCGTCATGGAGTTTGTCTTGAAGAGTTTTTTATTTCAACTGAAAAAATATTTAAAACGCCGGCGTTTAAAACCCTCAACGAAAACCTTCGAAAATCGCGGAGCGCGTTTTTTAGCGATAACCCCAAAGCCCAGGCTAAACCCTAAACCCTAAACCCTAGAGTAGTGCACATACACCTGGAGTCCTAAACCCTAAACCGTTGAGGGTGTATGTACACCTCACGCAGCTAATAATAAACCCCTGCAAACCCTAGACTGTTAACGGCATGCTGTAGGGTATATACACTCTAAACCCTCGGCTGTAGCCCTAGACTTCACTTCACTTCTAAACCCTAAACCCTTCGATTTAAACCCTAGACTGTAAACCCTTAGTAAACAGAAAACCCTCAGTTAATTTGATAGATAGATTTTAAAACGCAAAGCGCTATCCCTGCATGCACTGCATGCCTCGAGGTGTATGTACACCGCAGGCTGTACATCAACGGCTCAGAATTTCTTTTTCTCCCTCCTCTCCAACTTTTACTTTTTTTATATTCTCTGTCTTATAAACCCCCTATTTATTTCATTTAAATGAAGCGGGAGGTCTGCAGCAGCTAGCTGCAGCAGCTGCAGCTGATACCTGTTGCTGTTTGGGGCAGGAAGCCAGCTGAGCTAGCTGCAGCTGCAGCTAGCTACAAGCTATAGTACACACAAACACAATAAGTATATATATTCTATACATACATACATATATGTAGAATATATGCGTATATATATGCATATATACAGAATATATATATATATATATATGTATACATATATATATATATTATATATATAAATCCATATACATATATGTATATGTATATATATAGAATATATAGAATATATATATATATATATATAGTGTGGTCCCTGTCCCCCTTCTGTCTCGTTTGCGTTTAAGTAAACACCGGAAGACGGCAATGATTGATTGTTTTGCATATTTAGAATAAATAATTTGGATTAAGGCGACGTAATAACAGACATTATTATTATATATCTCGTGAGGTGTATAGTCAGCTGATAGTGGACCCCTAAGGAAGTAGTTTTGTTTAGTATGGGCTAAGTAGAAGTAGGAGTTAATATATATATTAACTTCTATTCAACTATAATATAATATAATATAATATAATATAATATAATATAATATAATATAA